AAATTCACAGCTCCCCCAGCATCCCTCCTCAGATAGGCCCACTGCCCCAAAACATAAGAACAGGAAACCGCTAAGTGGTTCAATGGGTAGAACACTGGACAGTCACAGAAACCTGAGTTCAGATCTGGCCTCAGACACTTACTAGCTGTATGACCTCTGCCTACTTCAGCATCCTCATCTGTAAAAATGGAGATAATAATAGGACTTATCTACCAGAGTTGTTTTGAGGATTAAATAAGATATTTGTAAAGCCCTTTGCAAACCTTAAAGTACTATATATAAATGCTAGCTATCAGAACCAGTCTCAAATACAAAGCATCAGCACCTCACCTGAGTATTGAGGAGAGAAGAGCTCCAGGGAAGGAGCTCATGCCCAAGTTAAAATTTTTTTTAAAGTGGTTTGAGCAGGTACAAAATCCTGCTATGTTTTACTCCTTTGATTTACCTAATCCTCAATCTCACATAATACCTGAAATTATAGGTTTGGTCAAAGGAGAGAATTAAAAATTCATATGAGAGGCCACTCACAAATACCTTCTCCTTTCCTCCCCACAGACTGAGGGAATTGTATTTAAGTTATTGTGAATATAGCATGTGATCAAATAAAGAGGCCATTTTTTTAAAGTTATATACTTCCTATAAAACTCCACTGAAATTGGGGACATAAATTTAAATTAGCATAAGGCAGTTTGAACAAGTCTACAAATAAATTCTTGTGAAACATGGGTAGAGTTTTGAAACATAGTTTCAAAAGATTCCAATTTTTTTTTCAAAATTTTATCCTTTTAAAAAATCCAGTGGGACCAAATTCTTTGCCTTGAGACCCCATATCATAAGTGAGAGATTGAGGTCATTCTGGCTAAGAATGTCATGGATATTTTAAATGCAGTTGTTTTCTGCCTAACATAGTCATAGGATCTTAGAGCTACAAAATGAGGAAGTTGAATGAGGTGCTGGGTAGAAGACACTGTCCATCTTTAAATCCTGTGATCCTTTAAGGCACATAGAATCATGGGATCATAGGTTTAAGATCTGGGAAGGATGTCATAGACTATCTAGTCTAATTCCCTCAATTTATAGATGTTTAGCATAGACACTGTGCTAAGCACTTTAAGATATTATGTTATTTGATCCTCAGAATTACCCTAGGAGATAGATGCTATTATGCTATTATTATTGCCATTTTACAGTTGAGGAAACTGAGGCAGACAGAGGTTAAGTGACTTGCCTAGAATCATAAAAGTATTAAGTGTCTAAGGGCAAATTTGAGCTCAGTACTTTTTGCCTGAAAGCCCAGTATTCTATCCACAGTCATGATATGTTTTGGCAAAGTGTAACAATGTATTGCACACAACTGATGCTTAATAAATATTTAACGAATCTAATTAAAGAAAATTCTATGCAACCATAAGGTAGTAACATTCAGAAAGAAAGGGGTGATTGAAAATGGTAGCATAGAAGCCTGAATAATGCTGGTTTCAGTCTCTTCATCTGCAAAACGAGTATACTAATACCACCTACCCTCCCAAGGGTGACTGTAAAGATCAAATGAGTAAATATATATAAAGCCCTTTACAAACCTTAAAGCATAATGTACACATTGGCTGTTGTTATTTTTGTTGTTGTTGCTTAAAAAGGGAAAGAACCAGGATAGTTAGGAAAAGACATAGCAGGGAAGGGAGGCAGCTGATGTCTCAGAGAGCAGACCCCAGCCAGTGGTTCCTAAATGGTGGACTTGAGTTCCACTGGATGTGCCAAGGATCTTATGGCACTTAACCCTTTTAGTTGCATAGCAGTGACCCAATCTAGCAAGTCTCCTGACTGCCCCTTTAGTATTGACAACTTAAATTGTTCACCAAGCCCAGTTACAACAAAAAATAAAAATACTGTGCCTTGTCCTTAGAGAGTAGTGATCATGCTCCAAGATGCACCCTAAAAACCGCACTAGAAAGCACAAAAGCTGGCCCTAGATTAGCATATCCATACCACTCCAGGAGAAAAGCTCCCTGATGCAATGTCAGGGTCATGGAGGTTGTATAGCAACCCTCTGGTCACTCACTTTCAACTTTCTCTAAAGAGAGTTCAGTAATTGGCTGGTTTCAACAAGACTAAATTCTAAATCCAAGCTGTCCCTAGAGAAGCAGCTTGGATTATTGGATAGAAAGCCAGCCTCAGGGCAGCTGGTTGGCACAGTAGATAGAGTACTGGTCCTGAAGTCAGGAGGACCTCAGTTCAAATCTGGACTCAGACACTTACTAGCTGTGTGACCAACCCCAATTGCCTCCAAAAAATAAAAAAGAAAGCCAGCATAGAAGTCAAGAAGCCTTGGGTTCAAGTCCTGCCTCTGACACATACTGTCTTTGTGACCCTTGGTAAATGATTTCACTCTTAGGCATCCCTGTAAGACTATAAATTGCAGATCTGTATAGGTAGAAGTTTCTTCTTAGATTTTTTTTTTGTTTCTCAGATCTGGACCCTTCCCGCCCAAAAACTGCTTTCCTGATATAGAGTTAGTTGAAAGAAAATGAATACCTATGTGTTCTGGCCAAATACTGAAAAAGAGACTTCTGTCCATAACCAGAAATAACAATTAGCAAATCAATTCATGGTCTCGTTTATCCTTTTATTCACAAGGACAATCACTGGTTTGTTTCAAATGAGATGTCCTGATTCTGTTAAAACTACTGATTCACTTGGACTCAGCAAACATTGATTAAGCATCTACTATGTGTCAGATGCTGGCAGTATAAAGACAAAACTGAAAAATAGCTCCTGCCCCTGCCCTAAAGGAGCTTACATTCTACAGGAATATGACATCCTTCTCTTGAGTTCAAAGAACCAGTTATACAAATACAGAAGAGGGGAAGTAGAACTTGATAATCGTTCACATTAAAAAAAAAAGGTGGGAGGGTTTTAGAGGGTTGTCAGGTCAATACCAGCAACAATGTGATGCAAGAACATCCTCCCCCCCAAAAAATCACTAAAATTAATCATCTAAACTATATTAAGAGAAGCCTAGTGGTCAAAACTAGGGAGATGGCAATCCCACTATAGTCTGACCAGGGCAAATTATGTGGAGAATGTTGCATTTTATTCTAGGTACCACACTTTAGGAAACACATCAACAAGCTAGAATGTATCAACCAATGAAAGTGTTTCTGAATTTTCAAAGTTCTTGCATATTATAGCAGGCATACAGGCTTAGTCAGCACTTTCTTAAGTCAGCCCCTATAATTAAGGCCCAAAGTCATGCTTAAGCTAGCAAATAATTTCTTTATTTTTGACAAAATGAATTTACAAATATGGCTCTCATTAATGCATTTTTTCATTGTTCTCCTCTTCCAGAACATTATTAATGACATATGCATGTATATATTTCTTATATGTATGTTTATACATGTGTACATATGTGTACATATATATACCTGTATGTATGTCTATATGTGTGTATGCATACATATATGTGCATACATGCATGTGTGTGTGTGTGTGTATATGAAAAGGCTTCCTTCTTTGCTAATTATAGAAGAGATATACCTTCACTGGGGTATCGTGGAGACTTCTATAATGAGCAAAGCATCTTTGTCCGTAAGAAAGGCCCTTTATTTAGCCAACTTATAATTTCTGAGAGGCAGCATGGTGTAATGAAAATTGGCCTTACAGTAAGCAAGACTCAAATTTTCCCCTCTCCCTCTCCCACTCTTAACATATATTGACTGTGGGTGAGTTACTCTACCTCACTGGGGCCTAGGCAACTATATAAGACCTGGAAGTTGCTGAAAAGGTTGCATTTTGCTTCAGTCTAGGGAGTTTCTGCACTGGGAGTTCCTGTACCAATGAAATCATAGATCCAGTCCCTGTCCTCTCTAGTATTTATGTATTCTATGAAATCTACCATGAGGAAGTGGTCAAGAAGGGGAAAGTCTCATACACTGAAAAGGAGAAAATTGATACAATCAAAGCACATGGCGAGTGGTGGATTTTCTTAAGCAAACTCCTTGGATGGTAGAACATCCTTGGATGTTGATGGTGAATAAATGAGTACATGTGAAATGTGGTGCCAAGCATTCCCGCCTCCTTTCCTCCTGGTGCCTTTGCATATGGTATTTTCCTCTGGGTAGACAGATCTTTAAGGTCTTAAGGAAGAAAAGCGTCACACCTCCCACTTCTTAATATGGCCTGGGGACATATTTTTCTACTTCTACACTCAAACCCTACAGGGGCCTTAGTAGATTAGATACTATTAATACAAAATCCATGTTAGCTTGGACACAGGCTGGCTGCAGGAAAGTTTACCTCTAAGCTAGCAGAGTTTTCTTTTGCCTAATACCATTCACTACGGTAGGGTGAATAGAAGCCCTAAACTGGGCACCTCATGCTAGATGTGGTAACTAGCCATGGAGCCTTGGGTAACTTCCAAACTCTTTGGGTTTTCTTTTCCTTCTCTGTAAAATGATGGGGTTAGATTCAGAGACCCCTTCCAGCCTTAAAATTCTGTGTTCTAACGTCTCTTCCAGCTCAGCCATTTTATGTCCTAAGGCCTCTTCCAACTCTGCCATCCTATGTTTTAAGGCCTCTTTCAGCTCCACCATAACTATGTTTTCTGTTTTAGGGACCTTCCAATATTCTATATTCTAAAGTTCCTTCCAGTTCTAACATTGGTTCTATGCTGTAATTTATGCTCCTTCTACGTCCAACATCTATAGTCAATGTTCTAGATCAGTGGTATCAAACACAAATAGAAATGGATCCCTGCAGCCTGCATAATAACTTAGAAAATCACAGATTAACATTATATATCATGTATTGTATTCTTATTTATCTTGTTAAACATTTCCCACTTATATTTTCATCTGTTTGGGGCCATATTCCAGGGTTTTGCAGACCACACCTCTGCAATCTAAAGTCTCTTCTTGCTCTGTGATTCTAATATTCTATGATACTATTTCAACTGAGGAATAACATTTGATGTATTTGGTTGTTTTTTTGGGTTTTTTTAGGATTATTCATGAAGATGGTTTCTCGGGAGAAGACGTGAAGCAGTATAAGCCTGTGGTCTATAGCAACACTATCCAATCCCTGGCAGCTATTGTCCGTGCCATGGACACCTTGGGCATTGAATATGGTGACAAGGAGCGAAGGGTAGGTCAATATTCTGATTGAGACAGCGGACTGAATGACTCCTCTCTCTATTGCTCTGCTTCCTCCTTTTTTAAACACCAGGCTGCCTGGAAGGAATGACTGTGGATTATGCCGCATAAGAGAAGGCATATTTATACAACCTAAGCAAATATATCCAACTGACTTGGTAAATATAATCGAAAAAGGGCCTCAGAGGGAAGAGGTAGGCACAATTTTAAGAAGAAGCTTTTAATCAAGGCAGTTTGAGTGCCAGGTTTCTTCTGCAGATAAGAAATGTGTCTGCTGACCTGTACACCATTCAGAAACTTAGCACTGCAGTAATACCTAATAGCTGAAAATTAAGTTGAGGCATCATCCAGACAGTCATTCAGTATGCATTTATTAAGTACCTACTATGTGTCAAGCCCTGTACTAAGCCCTAGAGATACAAAGAAAGGTGAAAGAGAGGTCCCTACTGGGGGGCGGGGGGCGTTTAAAATTGCTCTCATCCTCCTCCCCCACAAAAGAAAGTATTTTCAGCCACTCTAGGTTGAGTGTGGGATATTCCTGACAGATGTCTAAGGAGTTCCCTCCTCCCCTATAGGAAGGCCATGTCATAGAGCAGGGCTGTTTTTAAGGTCTGTTTCTAGGCACCCATTTAGTGGTGAACTGAGTAAGTATATAAAAGCAGCTTGTTTGCAAACATTTCAATTAACCGCAGGACTGAATTTTACTCAACCACTCTGGTAACACTAAATAGAGAGAGGGAGGGAGGTAGAGGGAGGGAAAGAGAGAGAGAGAGAGAGAGAAGAGAGAGAGAGAGAGAGAGAGAGAGAGAGAGAGAGAACAGAAATTATGCCTGTTTTCCTAGTCAGCACAGAAAAAGCAACTCCTGGGAACTCCTTCCCAGAACAGCTTTTTACCTCTTCTCCTATAGGGATTTTAAATCTCAATGATATTTTCAAGTGTAACTTACTGTACTGAGATTGTATACTAATGGGGATCCCAGAGCATGATGGCAACTGGATATGGATGGCTTGGAATTGGACGCAATCTGCTGATTACTCAGTAGCTCGGTTTGAATGATGCATGTGTTTTGTCATTGCCAAAATCCATGTGCATTGGGTAGGGTGAGGAGTGGGGCTGTAGCAAACCTTCATCTTCCATGTCTGATAAATAGTCTGTGACAGATGGCTTTAAATGTAGAAATTTAATTTTTTATGTACAAAGTCCTGATTCCACAGAGTACACCCATCAGTACCAAGGCCTCAGCTTTGCCAGCTAATGGAGATGCTTTGAAATCAGGACTGACTGATGGGTTATTGGGATTCAGGAAGATCACCAGAGGTTCTTGCAGTTCCCACTACCACAGAGAGGGGCAGGAGTGGAGGTGACAAATCGGTTCTGTATAGAGAAGCCATCTGATGCCAGCCTCACCACTGGACTTGAATGGCCCTGAATTTGATTCTACTCTTGGTTAGAAGCAGAGAGGGAAGGGTGTAGTAATAAGCAGAATGAATTCCCTCTTCACCTCTGGGGTTTCCTACGTAATCCAGGAATAAGCAGATCACCAATCAACAAATATTTATTGAGCATCTTTCAGCTTCCTCTGCACAGTAAAGATAATCATACCTTTACATTTATACAGTACTCCATTTTGCAGAATGCTTCATTTCATCTCCCTCTCCTTTCTATGATTCTCCAACTCCCATATGAAGTAGGCATGGCCTTCCAAAGAATACACCCAGATCCCCCTCTCCTAGCCCTTTGTTCTCGTCCCTAGAAGAATGCTGCTTGCTCAATGACAAAAGTGAGTATACAGGGAAAATATGTGGCCCTTGATCAAATCTTTTGAGAAGGAGCAATAAAGTAACCATCTAAGGCCCTGTAAAGACCAGGAGACTCAGAAAACTTCAGAGACCAGGCCCTTAGTTCTCACCTGACATAGTTACACTACCCTCTTCTATTGGTCTTTTTTCCTTCTCCCTTCCTCCCTTCAGTAAAACTCACCTCTGTGACCTACCTTCTGTACCCCCTCTATCACTCTGAGCCTTTCCACCTTGGTGTCAGTGAATAGTAACAGATTAATCAGTAGAGACTAAAGGGTTGTAGAGGTAGGAATTCAGGATTATCAGTGCCCAAAGAGCTGGGTATGTAATTTTCTAGAGATGTTATCCAAGTTTGAAATTCTATTCATTTTAAAATCTGATGTTCATTCAAATGGTTACTGTGTGTCTACTATATACAAGGCATTGAGCTAGATGTTCTTACAAATTCAGTTAGTCCTGGGGCTCTCCCCTCACCTCAAACTTACCACCATCTAGTAGAGGAGATCTGTGATTTCACTAGTATTCATGCACCTTACACCAAGGTAGGATACTTTTTCATCTTATGTAATTCTTGACCATATTTTTCTCTAAATCTTCTATATATTATTTATCCAAAATATTTGTCTTGTTCTAATATCTTTGAGTACTACTATGCCATTTGATCTTTCTTTCTATGAAAGTGATATCAACTCTGAAGAAGGTCTGTATTGGAGTGCCACAAAGCTCTTTCTTTGACACAGTTCTTTTCAACATTTTAATCAGTGACTTGGTTAAAAGAATAAATGGCATGCTTAGCAAGTTTTCAGGTGGCACAAATCTGACAGGGGACATAGGCAATATGCTGGATGGTAAAATCAAGAACTAAAACATTTTGACAAGCTAGAACCATATTTAATAAGAAAAAATACAATAGATAGAGTCTCAAACTTTTTAAAAAATCAGCTAGATGAGTACAGATGGAGGAAATGTGACTAAACAAAAATTTGTGTGGAAAAAAATCTGACTATTTTAGTGGACTGGAAGTTTAACATGAGTGCACATCATGATATTGCATCTAGAAGAGCCATAAATTATCTGAGGCTGCATTGAGAAGTGTGATGCCTTTAGTGAGGGAAAAGACATACTTGCTCTACTCTGTCACAATCAGACCACTTCTGGAGCTGTGTTCATTTCTGGGTGCCATATTTTAGGTAGCAGAGCAACAAACTGAAATGGATCCAGGCAGTAGTGATTAAAATGGCAATAAGACTTGACCCTATACCACAGATGGAACAATTGTTGGAGTTGGCAATGGATTTATATAAAGGATGTCAAGGAGAGGGAAGAGGCAAAGATCCAAATAATAAGCCTGAGAAAGATGGCTGTGCCATCAACAGAAATAGGGAATTCAGAGAAGGGTCAGGTTTGGGGGAAATGGGGATGAGCTTACTTTTGGACACTGTTTTTCAGGTATCTGAGACTCATGGTGATAGAATTGCAATCAGGGGACCTGGTTTGAATCCTATCTCTGCTACTATCTGTGAACTTGGACAAGATCTTTCTAGATCTCAGTTACCTTTTCTATAAAATAAGATGGAGAGAGACTAGGTGATCTCCAAAGTGCCTTCCAGTTCTAAATCCTATTATCCTTTGAAATATGAAACTGGAATTCAGAGGTTAGAGATGTAGATTAAGGAGTCATCTGTATAGAGGTGGATAATTGAAGCTGTAAGAGTGGGTGGGATCCTTAAGGAAAGTAGGTCAGAGAACAAGAGAAGGTAGGCTAAGAACAGAGCCTTATATCATCCCATCCCCCCCTTTTTTAAGCATCTTAAATAATTTAGAAGCATACACTTGCATATACAAATAGTTTCTATAACAAAGAATGCTGGATTTAGAGTCAGAGGACCAGGGTTTGAATCCTGGCTTTACTGTTTACTAGCCATGTGACTTTGGGCAAGTTACTTATCCACTCTGGGCCTCAGTTTCCTTATCTGTAAAATGAAAGGGTTAGACAAGCTGACCTCCAAGGTCTCTTCCAGCTCTAGATCTATGAGAACCTAATGCCTCATGTTACTTTCCAGGGAACAGAATGCCTTAGCCTAAATACAATGTACATGATCCCTTAAATGAACCCTTCAAAAGTAAGGGTAGAATGAGAACTTCAGGAATCTAGGCAAAGCCATTAGAGGACATAACTATGTTCAGGGGCCTTTTGTAAAATCATGGCTATCAGACATTATCCTAAACTGCCTCTGTATAGGGCCAATTCTGGCAGTGACTTCATTATAAGAAATCCTCAACTGTTTATGTTCATTGAGCTCAGTATGTCATACATCAAGGGAATCTTCCCATGTGGCAAGTATGTGGTGTCCCAGCTGATTACAACTGTTTTAAGATTTTTTTATAAGATGCAAACCCATCAGTGATGCCTTAAATTTTTTTTAAAATGGAGTAATAAATCTTTATTGTGGGCACATTTTTAACTCACACAAGAAAAGCCTTGAGATCTACCAGAAACACTCAGAGAATGAGGAAGCCGCATCCAGAGAAGAGGGGCTTAGGCTAAAAGCTATATCCAGATCTCAGTTCCTAGAGGGACAAGAATACAGCTGGGTATCACTTGCCAGAGAGGACAACGCTGCAACCAGGTCTCAGCTGGCAAGAAAGGAGAGACAGTTTGCTGGACTTGTGAGGTCAAGATCATCAAGGTGGAAAAAGGAGTCTGTGATCCTTAGAAATCCTCTGGCTATCTTCTAAACCTGGCACATCCCTGGTTACACCATGCTCTCAGCATTTTTCCTTGTTTGGTCTGAGAACACCCAAGTTCCATTCTCTATACCAGGACTGCCCAGTGCCATTGGTGAGGAACAGGGTTTTATGGGATCAGATTCTCCCTTAAGTGCATCTGATCAGTTCATCTTATGTCACAGGCAGTGAGATGTCAGGGATTGGGCAGCAAAGCTCAATTGACTACAAGACAGATCTGGAAATCTCTAGCCTAGAAGAGTCTAGATATGGAAGCTTCTAGAAAGGGGGGCTAGGTGATGGGTGCTAAGCAAGAGAAGAGGGTATCTCTAGAGCAAAAGCAGCATGGGGAACATAAGCCTAACTCTAACCCCACACCTATCACAAATGGAAAGTACCTGTCTCTCCTTCTTCATGAGAAAAAACAGAGTGAGTGAGTATACAGCAGGGCCCCATTAGTGCTTT